TCGATCTTGTTGAGCAGGTCCTCGTAGCTGACGTCGGGGTTGTTCTGCAGGAACTCCACCACGATCTTGCTCATGTAGATCTTCTCCTGCATGAGGGCGAAGGTGGGCGCGTACTCCTCGCTCGGCTCCATCAGGATGTAATCCGCGAAGGCTGCCGGGAAACCGGGAATTCCGGGGGGGAAAACCGGGAATTCGGTCAAAAAATCCACCCCGGGGTTGGAGGGGGAGCGGCAGCTCGAGGTGGGTCTGGGCCACAGAGCCAAGGGGGGAGAGAGGGACCCTAAGGGAGACCCCGAGGGGACGGGGGGGGAATGTGGGGAGGGAGAAATAGGGGGGGAAGGGGGAAAGGGGGAGGAAAGGGGAGAAAGGGAGGAGGAAAAGAGGAGAAAAGAAGAAAAATAGGGCAAAAAATGGCCAAAAAGTAGCCCAAAGGGGAGGGAAAATAGGTGGGAAAGGGAGAAAAGGAGGAGGAAAGGGGGAGGAAAGAGAAAGAGAGGAGGGAAAGAGGAGAAAAGAAGAAAAAAAGAGGCCAAAAAATGGCCAAAAAAAGGCCAAAGGGGAGGGAAAAATAGGTGGGAAAGGGAGAAAAGGGGGAGGAAACAGGGAGAAAGGAGAAAGAGAGGAGGGAAAGAGGAGAAAAGAAAAAAAAAGAGGCCAAAAAATGGCCAAAAAAAGAGGCCAAAGAGAAGCCCAAAGGGGAGGGAAAATTGGTGGGAAAGGGAGAAAAGGAGGAGGAAAGAGTGAGAAAAGAGGAGAAAGAGAAGAAAGAAAGAGGAGAAAAGAAAAAAAAGAGGCCAAAAAAAGAGGCAAAAAAATGGCCAAAAAAAGGCCAAAGGGGAGGGAAAAATAGGTGAAAAATAGGTGGGAAAAGGAGAAAAGGGGGAGGAAAGAGGGAGAAAAGAGGAGAAAGAGAAGAAAGAAAAGAAAGAGAAGAAAGAGAAGAAAGAGAAGAAAGAGGAGAAAGAGAAGAAAGAGAAGAAAGAGGAGAAAGAGAAGAAAAAAAGAGGCCAAAAATTGCCAAAAAAAGAGGCCAAAAAATGGCCAAAAAAAGAGGTCAAAAATAGCCCAGAAAAGGCCAAAAAAACCCTAAACCCCCCCAGAAAAGCCCAACCCCCCCCCAGGAAGGCCCGGCGAGGCCCCACCTGTGCTGAAGCCGATCAGCGCCTTCTCCCCGCCGTCGAAGCCCGTGATCCACCAGGCGTTGATGGGCCCCAACTTCTTGGCTCTCACCCCTCCTGGAAAGCCCAGAGACCCCCCAGTTCCAGCTCCTGGGGGACTGAACCCCCCAGAGAGCAGCCCTGGTGCCCCCCAGGCCCCGTCCCTCACCGTCCAGGCAGGGGTTGTCGTCGTAGATGGGCTTGACGGCGCCGCTGAAGTAGAGCTCGACGTTCCTCTCGATGAGCCCCGTGTCGAAGGGGCACAGGTGGCCCTGGCGGTCGTAGACGCTGCAGGGGAGACAAAAACAGAGCAGGGGGGGGTTTTTTAGAGGCTGAGAAGGAGAGGCCTCACAGACTCCAACCACTCTGAGGGATTTGCTGTGTTTAAGTTGTAATGAAACGCAGAAAACGTGAGTTGGGAGGTTGATTAAGGGAGAGGAGGCCTCGGGCCTGTTTGTCCTTGGTGGGCTCTGTCCTGGTGGAATGCAACAAAGAGGTTGTAAATTGGACAGGATGGATGTTTGGGGAGATGTGAAGGGCTGAGTAAAAGGGGTTTTTAGTGAGACTTTCAGGAAAAGCTGAAAAGTTCACGAAGAGGAAGGACAAGAGAACAACCCCCAAAAGGATGACTCTGCCTCGAGCTCCACCTGAACCCCCCTGATGTGAATATTATAACTAGGTGATGTTATTGTAATAAATATTCACATAAAATACTGCAATCCCTCACCAAAACTGCCTAAATCACCTGATTTAGGTGAGTTCTCACTGAGAACTTGGGGGCTGCTTTGCCCAGCACCAGCCGGGGGGTCGCACCCCAGCGTGGCCCCAAATAAACACCTTTGCTGCTCAAAGGCCCAAAAGTGTCCCTGAGCAGCCCCTTGACGCCGGTTTTGGAGCTCACCTGAAGGAGGTGACCCTGTGCTGGTTTTGGAGCTCACCTGAAGGAGGTGACCCTGTGCTGGGGCAGAACTCACTCACCTGAAGGAGGTGATGGGGCAGAACTCACTCACCTGAAGGAGGTGACCCTGTGCTGGGGCAGAGCTCACTCACCTGAAGGAGGTGACCTTGTGCTGGGGCAGAGCTCACCTGAAGGAGGTGATGGGGCAGAGCTCACCTGAAGGAGGTGACCTTGTGCTGGGGAAGGTCCTCGTAGCTCTCAAACCCGTCCTCGTTGGCGTCGAACAGCGACAGCCGCTCGTCCGTCAGCATCTCCGGCTCCTCCAGCTGGGGGGGGACAAAAACAGGGATTGGGATCCCACAGGGATTGGGATCCCACAGGGACTGGGATCCCACAGGGATTGGGATCTCGGGGGGACAAACAGGGATTGGGATCCCACAGGGATTGGGATCTTGGGGGGGATACAGGGATTGGGATCCCACAGGGATTGGGATCTCACAGGGATTGGGATCCCACAGGGATTGGGATCTCGGGGGACAAACAGGGATTGGGATCCCACAGGGATTGGGATCCCACAGGGATTGGGATCTCGGGGGGGACAAACAGGGATTGGGATCCCACAGGAATTGGGATCTCAGGGGGACAAACAGGGATTGGGATCTTGGGGGACAAACAGGGATTGGGATCTCGGGGGACAAACAGGGATTGGGATCTTGGGGGGACAAACAGGGATTGGGATCCCACAGGGATTGGGATCTTGGGAGGACAAACAGGGATTGGGATCCCACAGGGATTGAGATCTTGGGGGACAAACAGGGATTGGGATCCCAGGGGGACAAACAGGGATTGGGATCTCGGGGGGACACAGGGAACATTCCATATTCACGCATGCCCAGGATTAACCAGCATTAATATATGATATATTAAGTGCTTTAAACATATTTACCTACATATTATACAGTTTATGCCTTCTATATTTATTATATTAATATATTCTATATTAATCCTGCATGCCCAGGATTAACCAGCATTAATATATCACATATTAAATGCTTTATACACATCTACCTGTATATTAAATAATCTATTCATTCCATATTTACTCATGCCCAGGATTTCCCAGCATTCCCACCCCCAGCATTCCCACCCCCTTCCCAAACCCAGGCACGGGAGGATTTGGGGCCGCTTACGGCGTCGTCGGGATCCCCTTGGAAGAACTTGAGGTCGGGGTCGTCGAGGTACTGCCGGCACTCCACGCACTTGGGGGGGGTGGTCTGAGGGAGAGGGGCCCCAGTTATTCCAGGAATTATCCCGGGGTTTGGCAGAATCTCCCTGGTTTCACCCCGGGAACGGCCCCGGCTGCTCCCCCCGCCCCGGTCCTGGGCAGCTCCAGGAGCTGGGAATGGCTTTGTTTGCCCCACAGGACAGTCCATCCACCCCCTTGGGAGGAGTGAACTCATCCCAAAGCTTTGGAACGTGGAATTTTAGGAGTTTTAAGGGATGGGAACCCCCCCAAAAAAAGGTTGGAATGGAGGAAGAGGGCACAGGACAATCCATGCACCCCCTTGGGAGGAGTGAACTCATCCCAAAGCTTTGGAACATGGAATTTTAGGAGTTTTAAGGGATGGAAACCCCCCAAAAAAAAGGCTGGGATGGAGGAGGAGGGACTCACTTTAGCAGGGGTGGTTATTTTGACCTGAGGGGTTTCGTCTCTGAGCTCCGACCTGGGAGGGAAAAACGGGCTGAAGATGGAAAAGCTCCAAGTCCTCGGCGAGGCTCCAGCCTGGGACGTT